TCACTGACATAAGGCAGGAGCCAGGTGAGCCTTTTGTGCTGTTTGTCAAGAGGCTCAATGCTGCCATGGAGAAGCAGATTGAGGAGCCTGGACTCAAAGAGCCACTTTTGAAACGCTTGGCCCAGAACCATTCAAACGGTGAATGCCAGAGGATCATAAATTCTCTTATGGGGGATCCTTTGGTGGTGGAGATGGCCAGGGCATGTGCTGTGTGCTAGGATGGGGGCTGTGGATCCTGGGGTGTCTGCTCTGGCAGTGACTGTGCAGTCAGGCCAGGTACCCTTAGGGAGCAGACATAGGAAGAAGAACAAGAATAAGGGCAAGAAACAGGAAAATGCATCCAAGCCAGTGGATACAGGTGCCAAATTCGTGTGTGCCACGTGCCTGAGGCCAGGTCACCTTGCCAGCCAGTGCAGGTCAAAATTTGGTGCAAATGGCCAGCCTTTTGCAGGGCCATGAAATGGCAATAAGAGTGCAAAGAGGAATTGTGCCTCGACAGAAGTGATTCCTCAGAGCATGGTGCCAGCCCAGGTCAGCTTGGAGGCATCACCCATGGCTCCACGGGTGTGGATGTGTGTGCTGCTGGTGCAGTCACCCCGGGATCTGGTGGTGAGCACAAGGTTCCCTTGAACGTCCTCGGACCTCTGGGACAAGATGTAATGTCACCCACCAAGGGATCTTTGCTCACCCAGGAGTTGTTGACTCTGCCTTTGCAGGTCTGATTTTTGCCCCTGTTTTCACACCCTCTCCCCCTGTCACTATTCCGGCAGGGACTCGGACTGCTCACCTTGCGTTTTTTCTGTCGTGTGTCACCAGGACTGACCCGCAGACTCGTGGGACTGGTGGCTTCAGATCCAAAGGCCCTCTGGTTGATTGACACGGGGCAGATATGACTGTCACCTCCCTCTCTGTGTGGCCTCCTGTGTGGCTTTTGGCCCCCGTGGGGACACCCATTGTGGGGTGGGGGGTCTGGCACGCACCATGGTGAGCCAATTCTTTGTGCTCTTTGGCAGCACGAGTGGGCGGGTGGCTGCAGTCCCACCCTCTGTCGTTCTGGCCCTGTCCCTCTGTGGGGTCAGGATGTGCTGAGGTCAGTGCTGCCTGCCTGGGGGTGCGGGTTGGGGCAGATTGGTGGGTTTTTCATAGGGGCCACTGTGTCGAAGGGCAAAAGGTACCCAACACTGCCTTTATGGTGGCTGGTGAACAAACCCATTTGGGTTCATCGGTGGCCCCTGACTGTTGCGGTGTGATGTCATGGTTTGCCTCAGATTCCTTGGTTTTCTCCGTGTAGATTTCCCCAGGTGTGCCAATCACCTCTCCTTTCCCCACCCTGACCCTGCTGAGCGCTGTCTGTCAGTCCTGGCATTCCAGATGGGCATTGATGCCTTTCAGCCCTGGGGTGATGAAATTGGGCCATCCAGGTGTTATTTGTCCCCTGAGACTTCCTCCCCTTACCTGGTTGGTGTCTCCCTACCCCTTCCCTGCCTCTCTCCCCGGGGTTCAAGGGACCGGCACCCCGGGGTTCGGGGGTTTTTTTTGGGGTTGTTGTTGCTTTCGGGGGCTGTGGGCCAGAATAAAGCTCTGCATCCAAACCCTCCATCAGAACCGACTCCTTTCCTTCACCTTGCCCTAAAGTTTCTCCACCAAAGGTAAACCTGAGCTCCTGCACACCTGGACTTGTCTCTAGCGCCCAGCTGTAACATCCAGCTAGCCAAAGGTGTCTCTGAGGTGAAATCACCACAGCTGCCTCCTTTGGTCAAGCAGCAAGGGCCAGACAAGCCAGGCACGTCCCATCCGGTTATATTGGTAATTAATTCTAATACCTGATGGAGGAGAAACTGCTTTCCCTTTGTGAATTGGTTCAGGAACAGTTGCAGCAGGGACACATTGAGCCTTTGATGAGTCCCTGGAATACTCCCATCTTTGTGATAAAGAAGAAATCTGGGAAGTGGAAGTTGTTGCAAGACCTCTGAAAAGTGAATGCAGTGATGGAAGGCATGAGGGCATTGCAGCCTGGTGTGCCCTCACCCACCATGATCCCTGCAGGATGGGAGATCTTGGACATTGATTTGAAAGATTGTTTTTTAACAATTCCTTTGCATCCTGATGATCAGCCAAAATTTGCCTTCACTGTGCCTTCAGTCAACAATGCCAAACCTGCTCAGAGGTATCAATGGAAGGTTTTGCCACAGGGCTGTCACAACAGCCCGATTATTTGCCAGTGGCACGTGGCTCAGGCCTTGTCTGGTTTCCTGACACGTGTTATTATCATTCTATGGATGACATCCTGGTGGCAGCACCCAGCCAGGATGAGTTGTTGAGGATACAGCCTCAGCTGTTTGCTGCCCTGCATGCTTATGGGCCGTGGGTGGCCCTGGGGAAGGTTCAGCAGCATCCCCCTTGGAAGTGTTTGGGGCTCAAAATTCTTGACCAAACCATTCAGCATCAGGAGGTGCAATTCTCAGATTCTGTTCAGACCTTGAATGATGCCCAGAAGTTGATGGGTGTCACCAGCTGGTTGTGTCTTTACTTGGGACTGACAGAGAACAGTTGTCCCCATTGTATGACACTTTGAAAGGGGACCCTGACCTGAGGGCTCCTCAGGAATTGACCCCTGCAGTGTGATGGGTGCAGGAGGTTCGGAGGGCTATTCAGGTTCACTGAATAGATCCTTGCACTGATGTCACTGTTTTCATTACCAATCCAGATTTTCATCCTATGGCCAGTGGAGTGACCCTTGCATGTTCTGGAATGGGTCTTTTTGCCCCCCCAGCTGAAGAAGACAGTGCCCTCATTAGTCTGAGCTAATTGCTCGTTTGATCATCAAATGCTGTCAGCGGTGTTTGCAATTGATGGCTGCTGATCCTGCAGTGATCATTTTTCCTGTGGAGAGGGAGGATTTTGAATGGAGCCTTGCTATTAGTGCTCCTTTGCAAAGAGTGCTGGAAAACTTTTCTGGGCAGGTTGCCCATCATGTGCCCAGTCACCAGTGGTGTGGCTGGCAAAGACAACGCGTTTGTCACTGTGGCCAAAGAGCAGCTGGGTGCCAGTGCAGGGGACCCTGTGTGACCGTGTTCACAGGGGTCTGAGGATGAGGGAAGAGAGGAGGATCTGACTCCATGTTTCAGAAGGCTTGATTTATTATTTTATGATATATATTATATTAAAACTATACTAAAAGAATAGAAGAAAGGATGTCATCAGAAGGCTGGCTAAGAATAGAAAAAGAAGGAATGATAACAAAGGCTTGTGGCTTGGACTCTGTCACAGCTGACTGTGGTTGGCCTTTAATTAGAAACAACCTCATGAGACCAATCACAGATACACCTGTTGCATTCTACAGCAGCAGATAATCAGTGTTTACATTTTGTTCCTGAGGCCTCTCAGCTTCTTAGGAGGAAAAATCCTAAAGAAAGGATTTTTCATAAAATGTGCCCGTGGCATCCCCTGTCTTCACTGATGGCTCTGGGAAAATGGGGAAGGCTCTTCTGACCTTTTCACTTGGGGTTGTGGGTATGCACGTGTCCCCACAGACACTGGAGTGCAATGGGTACCTGCAAAGTGCATCAAAACCAGAATGTGGCCAACAGGCAACCCTTGAATGATGACCAAGATAATGACCAAGATGACAACCATCAATCAGATGGCCCTTCCATGAGTGGGGACTGAATTTCATCCTGTTTTCTGAAAAGGACTGTTATGAATTAGAATAAGCATATGACTTAGAATGGATAGTGTATTTGGTGAGATGATCACAAGACCCGATCTCTCTGGCCATTTCAATCTGATTTGATGGAGGGACCTCTGGAGCTGTGTTCGTTCTCCTTTCTGCAAGAGGCCCCACACAGGAGTACAAACAATGCCTCCATCTTTAAACAAAAAAGGGGGACCTGTGGATGCCTTGGGACAGAGAGAGAGAAATGGCAAGTGTTCCTCACANCTCAGCTTCTTAGGAGGAAAAATCCTAAAGAAAGGATTTTTCATAAAATGTGCCCGTGGCATCCCCTGTCTTCACTGATGGCTCTGGGAAAATGGGGAAGGTTCTTCTGACCTTTTCACTTGGGGTTGTGGGTATGCACGTGTCCCCACAGACACTGGAGTGCAATGGGTACCTGCAAAGTGCATCAAAACCAGAATGTGGCCAACAGGCAACCCTTGAATGATGACCAAGATAATGACCAAGATGACAACCATCAATCAGATGGCCCTTCCATGAGTGGGGACTGAATTTCATCCTGTTTTCTGAAAAGGACTGTTATGAATTAGAATAAGCATATGACTTAGAATGGATAGTGTATTTGGTGAGATGATCACAAGACCCGATCTCTCTGGCCATTTCAATCTGATTTGATGGAGGGACCTCTGGAGCTGTGTTCGTTCTCCTTTCTGCAAGAGGCCCCACACAGGAGTACAAACAATGCCTCCATCTTTAAACAAAAAAGGGGGACCTGTGGATGCCTTGGGACAGAGAGAGAGAAATGGCAAGTGTTCCTCACAGCAGCTTGTGAGAACTTTCAGGGAGTTGTAAGGATGTGATAACTTGTTAGTATAAACAATCTGCAGGTTGTGTTTTTCTACTTCATCTTTCTGTTCTTCTCAAGGATAGTGTATGAGAAAGGTGTTTTTGTTAACCAGACAATCAAATAGAATGTATGGTATCATTCTATATAAACCCCGTGGTTCTCTTGAACAAAGCCTTCTTTGCTCTTTCTGCAGTCCTGCCTCCCGCCTGTTCCTGTGTCATTCTCAGCACAAGAGTGACATGTGCCAGACCAACCTTGGAGCAGAGCAGAAGGAAACCAGGTTTCCTTAGCACAGTAAATAGAGCACCTTCAGGCTCTGCTGGTTGCCCCAAGGGTTGGCCATGGGCCCCATGGGGACATGGAGGGGCAGGATGGGGCCCTGCAGGGATGGCTGTGAGAGAAGGGGTACCCAGCTCCCCCCACCCCAGTGCTGCGGGGTCCCACATCTCCCAACAGCAGCAAGAAAGAAAGCAGCAGTAAGAAAATAAAGCTTTATTGGGAAAAGCAGCATCGTACAAAGAGCTGCAGCATAGAACCCTGAGAAGTTGCTCTGCCTGCTTGAGAACAGCAAGAGGAAACCAAGAAGGGGCTGGGGGGAGCAGGACCTGCCTGCATGTGAGGCTGTGTGAGCACAGAGCGCCCTCTGAATTGTTTCAGTAGCACCTCCCTCTGGGGTCCCCCTCATCCCAAACCTTCCCCAAGTTTGGCAGGGATAGAAGAAAAAGGAAAATC